GTTTAATAAAAAGCTAATTGGCCAGGCAGGAAGTACAGGTGGGACAACCAGACTAGGAGAAGTCTGGGAAGAGAAAAGACAGATGCAATTGTCAGATGCAGAGGACGCGAGAATGCCTTACTGAGAAAAGGTACCAAACCACGTGGCTAAACATAGATAAAAGTTACAGGTTAATTTAAGTTGTCAGAGCTAGTTAGTAATAAGCCTGAACAATAAGTCAAACAGTTTGCAATTTTTTTTAAAGATGTATTTATTTATTATGGATACAGTATTCTCAGTACTCTGTCTACATGTATGCCTGAAGTCCAGAAGAGGGCACCAGATCTCATTACAGGTGGTTGTGACCCACCATGTGGCCACTGGGAATTGAACTCAGGACCTTTGGAAGAGCAGGAAGTGCTCTTAACCTCTGAGCCGTCTCTCCAGCCCCCAGTTTGCAATTAATATAAGCCTCTGTGTGCTTATTTTGGGACTGAAGGGCTACAGGATCAGGTAGGACAGAAACTTTCATCTACATTTTTCCTTTTTCTGAATTATTCAGAAATTATCTTAAACCCGGCCTATAATCTTTTTTTTTTAATATTTATTTATTTATTACATATACAATATTCTGTCAGTGTGTATGCCTGCAGGCCAGAAGAGGGCACCAGACCCCATTACAGATGGTTGTGAGCCACCATGTGGTTGCTGGGAATTGAACTCAGGACCTTTGGAAGAGCAGGCAATGCTCTTAACCGCTGAGCCATCTCTCCAGCCCCCGGCCTATAATCTTATCATTAAGGAAGAAGGCAGAAAATAGTTCACATCAGAGGGCAGTCTAAGCTACATACAGACTTTGTGTCAAACAAAAACGGCTGGGAAAGCAGCTTCAGTGGTAAAGTGCCTGTTCCGTATGAGGATGACAAGTTCACAGCCTGCTCAAGCTAGAGAGAGCCCAAAGGCGGCCTAAATACGTTAGTGAAACTGCCTCAAATTTAGTTTTGAGGGTGGTTAAGAGTTCAGAGGTAAAGTTTCTCTACTGATGTCAAGCTTACAGATAACCCGAGCTTTGTTTTGATCTACCCCAGCATGGTGGAGAGGAACTGACACTCCTAAACTGTACTCTGACTGCCATAGGCCCATCATGGCATACCCCTTTCTCCCACACAAACATAAAAATAATTTTTGTTTTGTTGTTTTTAGAGACAGGGTCTCACTATGTAGCCCTGGCTGGCCTGGAACGCAGAGATCTACCTCAAGAGTGCTGGGGTTAATGGTGTGTACTGCCATCTTTCACCTAAAAACATTACAAAGCCAGTAGCTCTAAGTGGTAGAGTGCTTGCTTAGCACCAGTTAAGGAAAGAGGGATGAATGTAACTGGAAAATCTGAGCCAGGATTATCGCTACAAGCAATAGGGTACAATATATACAATTTCCAGGCCAGTCATGACCATATAGCAAAACCTTGTCTCAAAATAATAAATACATTAAAATTCATAAGAAAAATCTCCATACATCCCAATTCTGGTACTTCAGTGAGTCAATATTTACCTCCATCTCATTTCTCCAATGGAAGTATCAGTTTGAAACAGACATGACAGTGTACACCTATAGTCCCAGAACTTGGGAAATAGAACCTGGGCTACATGAGATCCTTGTCTCAAAAAGCCAAAGGAAAAGAAGGGCTGAGGAGCTGACATGGCAGCTAAGAACACTGGCTGCTCCACCAGAAGACCCAAGTTCAGTTCTCAGCACCTACAAGGCTGTACAACACACACCTATAACTGCAGTTCCTGTTTCCAGGGGGTTGATGCTTTCTATTGGTCTTCGTAGACAACAGGCACAGAAGCACCACACATAGGCAAAACACTCCAATACAGAAAATAAAAATATTTTTAAGGCTGGGAGGTGGTGGCATTGCTTTTAATCCTAGCACTTACTTGGGAGGCAGACAGATCTCTGGGAATTCAAGGCCAGCCTGGCCTACAGAGTGAATTCTACTATTTCACAAAGAAACCCTGTGTGTGTGTATTGGGGGGGGGAATCTAAAACTAAAACAAACAAAACAAAACAACTTTTAAGGAAGTAAAAGCCAAAGGGCAATGCAGATCCCTGTGGGTTCAAAGCCAGCCAGCCTGGTCTACATAGTCAGACTTTAACCCAAGAAAGAAAAGAAAACCAAACAAAGGGAAAAAAGACCCAACTTAAATAAATTAACAAAGCATTCTCTCTTAGTAACACACACCCAAGTTCAAACTGACTGCAAAGTTAAAAGTAACATTAAAGAATCATTTTTTTTCCTTTTGATGAACCCAGGAAACCTTTTACAAGATGACCACCAGCACCTGAGATCAGAAAGGCCAAACTCTACCTTGTACATGCAGTAATTTATAACCAGAAGAAAACTGTGGTGACATTTAATCTGTTGAGTGTAGGCCACAACCAACTGGCTGATTTTACATATAATTTAGTTCTCGAACACTTTACAGATGAAACTGCTGAGAGTAAGTTTCTCAAGATTAACTAGTTAAAGGTCAATTTCCAAAGTTAACATCTTAAAACAGATATTTAATTCTCCTGCAATTAATCTGTCAGGTTATAAAGATTTAAGACTACTACCAAGTCAGCCTTTACCATAGACACTCTTCAGTCTGCAGGTTCTTGGTCTCAGTAAATCAAACACAGGTGTTTGTTATTTGCAACCCAGAATGAAAAACATAAAAAGATGGCCTGAGTATGTAGATCAGTTAATAGGGTGCCAATAATGCATGAAGTTCTGTGTTTGATCACAGGCACTGCACAAACTGAGTGTGGTGAGGCACACCTCCCAAACTCTGCAGGTAGAGGCAGAAGTAACAGAAGCTCGGAGTCACCCTTGGGGGGCTGGAGAAATGGTTCAGAGGTTAAGAGCACTGCCTGTTCTCCCAGAGGTTCAATTCCCAACAACCATCTAGAATGAGATCTGGTACCCTCTCTTGTGTGCACTGTGTGTGTACGTACGTGTGTGTGTGTGTACATACGTGTATATATATATAAATGAATCTTTAATAAAAAAAAGTCATCCTTGGTTACATCATGTAGCCTCAACTACATTAGACCTGCCTCAAATTAAAAAGGAAAAATATGAAAATTCTTATGGGTAATAATCTGTTAAATGTAATGGACTGAAACATAAGAACCCAGCAGGGCAGTGGTGGCACACAGCTTTTATCCCAGCACTCTGGGAGGTAGAGGGAGGGGGATCTCTCAGTTTGAGGCAAGTCCCAAGACAGCCAGAAAAACATAGAGAAATCCTGTCACAAAAAAACAAGAAAAGGGCTGGAGAGATGGCTCAGTGGTTAAGAGCATTGCCTGCTCTTCCAAAGGTCCTGAGTTCAATTCCCGGCAACCACATGGTGGCTCACAACCATCTGTAAAGAGGTCTGGTGCCCTCTTCTGGCCAGCAGACATACACACAGACAGAATATTGTATACATAATAAATAAATAAATAAATAAATAAATAAATAGATAGATAGATAAATACCAAGAAAAGAAAAAGAAACATAAGAACTTGAGTATGGCCATGCGGTGGTGGGGCATGCCTTTAATCCCAGCACTTGGGAGGCAGAGGCAGACTGATCTGTGAGTTCAAAGCCAGCCTGGTCTAGGAGAGCTAGTTCCAGGACAGGCAGGACAAGCTACAGAGAAACCCTGTCTCGAGAGAGAGAAAAAAAAAAAAAGAAGAAGAAGAACCTGAGGACACTAAGTTGAAATGCAACCAATTGATCTTAAAATCTTAAACGTTTTATTTACTGACCACAGTTTTGCTTACTGTACTTTAAGACCCTTAACTGCTGTTTTTATAATCTGCCTGTAAAGAAAACCAGTTCTTAAATCATTCTGTAGATACAAGACCTCTTTGCAATGTAAAAATAGTAAAGCCCTTTCATCAATGCCGGGAGATAGAGAACAAATGTAGGCAAATGATCTTTTTCCTTTGATTTCATTTCAGATTAGTATCTGAGTGCCTAAAGGACAAAAGAGAACATCAGACCCCCCCCCCCCCGTGCTGAAGTTACAGGTGTTTGTGAGCCACATGATGTGGGTGCTGGGAACCGAATCCGGGTGGAAGAGCAGAAAGTGCTCTTAACCGCTGATCCATCTCTCCACCAGATAATGGTATTTTCACAATGAACTGTCCACAGTATGATTCTGGCCAGAGTCCAACTACTCATTCAGTGAGACGGACAGTGGGTTTTCATTTGCTTAATAAGATTTGGATATCATAAGATGCTTTAAAACCATGCCTTAACTACAAGTGAGGGTCTGAGTAACAAAACTAAGTCAAGACAGCTCGGTAGTCTGCAAGCAGAGAACAAAGGCCACCTTTCTTAAACTACCTCTACTCAAGCTAAAATTAAAACAAGACCGATTTCTCGTTCATCTCACGCTAAAAAACAAACCTTAGGTCCCTTACCTCCCTCTATCATTTCTTCCCACGGTCTCTCTGGCTTACTTTCCCTACTTTTGCAGGCTTGCCAAGACACATTTTAAAATAAAGGAGAAAAACCGTCCAGGTCCGCAGCTATTCTTATCGACAGGCCTTAGCGGGAAAACTCGGTTCGAGAAAACCTCAACCTCCATCCGATTGTCTCGTCGCTCCAGCCTCTGAGTAACTTAAAACCGAGTTCCCGCTAAGTCCTGCATCTCTCGCTAGACCGTGCCGGCGGCTGACGAGCATCCCGGCCCTCTCTCCCAGTTCCTCCCGGTTCCGGCCGTCTTTCCCTCCTACACCCCAGGTCAAGGCGCTCTCCACCACGAGCAATCAAAAAGGTTTTTTTTTTTTTTTTTTTTTTTCTCTTTAGGAAAGCGGGTTCATTTCTGGAAAGATCCGGTCGTTGGCGCGCGGGACAACTACTAGAGGAGGAGGCAGGGTCGGGAAGGGGGCGGGAGCACCGTACTATCCATCAAGCTCCCCGCGCTCGCAGATCGCGAGTCCTCTTCGGGCCTCGTCCAAGGCTCAGAAATCTCCCCTTACACCCTGAGCCGGGGTGGGACTCGTGGGTGCAGGATCTCGAAGGCCAGGTCGAGAAGGGAACTCTCGATGCCCGGGCAGTCCGAGGGGGCGGGAGCAAGAGGAACAAAGCGGCGGCCACCCACCGCCAAGACCCGCTTACCTACGGACAAGAGCTGCATGGCGTGAGTGAAAGACGGGTCGAGGGAGTCCTTCTCTGCCATGAGTTCGGGCAGGTACTTATTCTCCGGCTCCATCTTGGCCGCGGCTGTGGCTGACGGGGGCAGCAGCGGGGTCGGCGCGGAACCCACGACAGTCGCGTCGGGACCCGTGGCCGAGGGAGGCAGCAGCGGTGGCGGCTGCGTGGCGGGCGAGGCCCGTACGCCCCCTCTAGGACCACCTCCGCCTCCCCGGGACCGGTGTGGCAGCGGTGACGGCCGAGTCGGGGTCTGACGCACCGAGGGGTGGACACCTGAAGGGTCCATGGAGCCGCTGCGGCCCGAGGACCGAGTCAGGCGCGCGGCAGGGTCGTCCCGGCGCTGCATCGGGGAGGATGTGTAGCGAGCGAGCGAGGAAGCGACGCGACGGCAGCCGAGGCCCGAGCGGCGGTTGGCGGGGGTGGAAGAGCGGGAGCGACGGCGACCGAAGCCGACCCGAGCGACCCAGCGAGAGAGCACCGGAAATGAGGCGGCGCGCGTGCGCAGGCGTCTACCGGCACCGCCCTTGAGTTTCTCCGCGGAGAACAAAGTCTCCAGTCGGGCCACGGCGCCTGCGCCGACTCAGGACGTAGCCTCCCCGCTCAGGCTTCGAGTTTTTTGCGCCTGCGCGGGTGCCAGCCGCCTTCGTTCGTTTCTTTTTTTTCTTTTCCACGTGACTCGGCGCTAGCGGTACACGTGTCTCCCCCCCCATCCCCACACTCGGGCGGAGGGGGGCGGGAGCTGTGGAATGTCTTTGTCTGCGCGCGGGCCCGCGGAGTGTGGGGCTGCGGACCTGTTATTCGTGGGCCACGCCTCCTCCAACGGCCGAGCCTCGGGAGCTCCCTGGAAAGACCAAGAGGAATCGGGGGCCGCCCCACCAGCCAGAAAATGAAAGAAAGCTTCTGGGGACCCTGAGAGGAGAAAAGAGGGTTAGAGCAGTGTGAGGCCGGAAGAGAGGGAAAGACTGCCCCAACGGGATGGGAAGATGGGAGCACTGGGAGAGGCTGACCCATGGAATAAGTGTCGTGGGTGTGAGAAAGGGAAGCCTGGAGGGAGAAATATAAGACTAAATAAATAAAAGACTTAGAGAAGTGTCAATCAGAGACGCAAAGGTCGGAAGAAGGGGGCTCCAGACCCAAGCAAGGCACCCAGGAAGTCGCGTTACTAAGCTTTCCATTATAGCAGGTTCAAAATTGGCAAGAGAATTCTCGGTAAAAGATGCATTTGGGGTCGGATCAGCAGGTAAATCCGCTTGTCTCCTGAGTTCTATCCCCAGGCCCTAAATGGCAGAAGGAGAGAATCGACCCTCACAAGTTGTCCTCTAACCTCTACCCACACGCGCGCGCGCGCGCACACACACACACACACACACACGCATATGCATGCACACACGCACACATACACACACTGGCATTCAATGTGTCGTGCCCCACCCCCTTGTGAGGGGTCGGGTTAAGATGCACCGAACACCTGCGCTGAGAAGGGAGCAACGCTGGACAATTACCGCAAATTTGCTGATCTACACAGGGAGCTCCAGGCCACCTAGGGTATCGAAGGGACTCCCAGTCCCCCCCCCCCCCAAACAAACCAAGGCAGATGACACACCTGCAGTCCTACCCCTGGTGAGATTTAGGCATTTGAAGCATTTTAGTTTGTACGTTTTGTTGCCTTCTGTTTACTCTATAAAAAGATGACCACAGGCCCAGTCCTTTCATCTGTGTTGGCTGTCTAGTTCTCACATTCCTGCTGACAGTAGGAATGCCGGTCCTGTCTTTGTTGGGTCCTTCACGCTCCTATCATGCCCTGCCTCTGTCCACTGTCTTGCACGACCACACCCTGCTTTTGTGGTACTGGGAATCTAACCTTGGGCTTTGTGTATGCTAGGTAGGAAAGCATTCAAGCAACCTGAACTACATTCTAAGCAAAGTAATATATAATTTTACATAGTTTATATAGTAACTAGTTCTGCTGACCATGACTGGACCTTTGGAGGGTTATGTTTCATTTTCATAACACAGTATTTTTAATTAAAATTTGTTCATACAATTTATATCTTATTTTTCCATCCCTTAGTTCCTCCCAGATCCTCCCTGTCTTTCTACACACCCAACCTTATATTCTATTTTCTCTCTCTTTAAAAAACTAAAGGACTGGACAAATGTCTCCATGGTTAAGAGCAGTAACTGTCCCTGCAGAGGACCCAGTTTGGTTCCCATGTCACAGTTACAGCCATCTGTAACTCCAGTCCTAGGGGAGCTGATGTCCTCTTCTGGCCTTTACTGGTATTGCACAGATATACATGCAGGCAAAACACCCATATGCCTTAAATAAAAATATTTTTTAAAACACCCACAAAAACCTCCACAGAGGGGCTGGAGAGATGGCTCAGAGGTTAAGAGCACTGCCTGCTCTTCCAAAGGTCCTGAGTTCAATTCCCAGCAACCACATGGTGGCTCACAACCATCTGTAATGGGGTCTGGTGCCCTCTTCTGGTCTGCTGGCATACACACAGACAGAATATTGTATACATAATAAATAAATATAAAAAA